TAGCAAATGCAAAAACTCAAGGAAAGGTCTGGGCTCCTGATACATTTGCTTTAGCCACCGGCATATTGATTCTAGCTGTGCACAACCTTACCAGAAGAAAATAGATTGCATACAGAAAATGCACAAACACATACTGCACAACCTAGTTCAGAGAATGGGCTTAAAATTACTAAAGAAGTTATCATGAAAGGTATGACTTGAAGTTTATTTAAAGCGGTATTACTGTGCCAACTTACCTGCAAAGAGCAGAGCAACAACATTTAAAAGGAGGAAATTGCTTGTGGGGGTAAACATGTTCCCTGGAGGATGTGGCAACATGAGCGAGAAAGGGGGTCAGTGAATCTGCGGGGAGAGTAAGTCTTAAACTATGGAATAAAAAACACAGCTTTTTGGGAGTGATTTAAAAACACATGCCAGCACTGCCATGCAAACGGTGAGGTGAAAACAAAAATGTCAGCACTCCTTCAGGGTACAACGTCTGCATTTCCCAAGGTTAATTCATAAAGTGCAGAAACAACTCCAGAAGTCCTTGCTATCAGCATAAGAGAGTAAACAAAGCGAAATTAATTCATTAAATTCTCAGAGTACGAATGCGATTCATCAACTAAGCAATATACAACCTGCAGATGAACAGGATTTATTCCAAAGTGGGTTTACCTTTAAGGCAGCATGGGGAAGATTTTAAATTATAGAGGCAATCTTGAGACCCACGAGCCGTGTGATGTGTGACCCGGTACCGAGGTTCATTACTCAAGGGTTTGTTTAGTTTCTGGGCCTTACTGTGTCACTGGAAAATTACAGAAATAAGCAAAGCTGTGCTCTACTTTACCGCCCTGCTCTATGAATACACTCTGTGGACTCTTTTAACTACCTTTGTGCTCTAAAATTAGGGTGAATGAATTATGTCAGGTCACAAAAGGAAGATCTGGAGGATTAAGAGGGGAACTTAACTGAATATTCAAGCATAAAAAATGAGTAAATGTACCCAGAAGGGAAAGTTATGGTCTTCTATCAACCTCTGTCTCTCAAAAGAAATATTTCCATCACCAGCTTCACAGGAAGAATCCACTTTTGAAGGCGTTGAACACGATGTTCCTCCTGTCCTGGTCCACTTTTCTGTTCAAAAAACACTCACGCAAGATGAAAAAAGACATTTTCTCTTCAAATACACTCGTACCAGACACAATAAAAGAAAGTTTTCCTTCACCAGCCTCAGAGAGAGATACGTTTAAAAACACACCTTGTTGTTGTCTTCTGCTTTCAAACTGAAAGCGAATTAAATTAAATGTTTTTGCTATCTCAAAACACAAATAGATGTCCGCTGAAAAAGTTATTTTACAGCCAAAATTAGAGTTGTGAAAATAGCTGAAAAGAGAGGAGGTGGATTTTTCTACTTGTGTGTTTACTCAAAATGTTATGCTATATCAAATCAATCTGCAGAAGAGAGCAAATCAAACCCGATGTTTATCCCTTGTTGACAAAAACTCAAGTTTTGGAAAGCAGCTGCAGGAATTATTTGAGATTTCTATAAATTTGTTTGAAAAACATACAACTTTAAATATGTGGTGGATAGCTTACAAATTTCCAGCAGAGAAAATAAGACAAGACGTGAAAAAAAAAGCAAAGAAATTAAGTTAAAAAAATAAGGGATGGAATAAAAAAGACATCCACCAAATTGAAGAAAACAGACACAAACTCTGGCAAGTTTTTGGTTTGGTCGTGTTACAGGGGAGGCTGAGTGAGAAGAAAATGCATCATAACGGTGCAAATGTATTTCTGCATCAAACTTAGAGGCGAATAAAAATCTTAAATGAGTGAAAATTCAATATGTAAGGTGGCGGATACGATTAGTGTTGCTTTGTAAGTGTTACCAACTCTTGAAACTGACCTTTTTTTTATTTGTAGATTTTTTTAATAGACAAAAATATCTTAAACCAGAACAAAGTGTCAGCTTGTTTGAATATTTGATTGGTAGCCAGATGATAACCAGGTAAACTGCAGCTAACCTGTAGGCAGTCCATGCAATGATAATATATCCATGATCCCAACTCAACACAAAGTCAGGAGACTTGATTTTATTCAACCAAAAAGGCATGTTGGTATTGAGACATAAGAAACAATCAAAAAGAAAATAATACATATGTATCTACATGCAAATTCAATTCTACTTTACAAGAACATTTGATGGTTCAAAGTTAGGCAAGACATTTCAATCACAAATATTCTTCACCTCCATTTTTCAACTGTTTCCAGCTCGGTCCATTTTCTAAACCCATCACGGTTAATCAGTATATGAAATGACGGAAAAGGTCAAAAGGCTTGTCCTGCTGCAGTCGTTGAGATGATGATGATTGTCAATCACTTCAATGATGTTCCTGCAGTTTGATTATTTGATTATAATTGACATTACTGTTCAGACACGTTTGCCAGTATTTTCAACCAAGGTCAAACACCAGGCTAATTCAGGCTTCAATGAAGATCGCGTTCAGCCATTTCATCTCGTCTGTAGGCGAGAAGGACATTCAACAAACACTGAAGACTACGCAACAGAAGTTTTGGGAGCAACCAGTTGGATTTGTTAGCTATTAAAAATGCTCCATATGAGATCTAAATGTCTGCCAGCAACAGTTGGGTTGAAAAAGGTGTATAATTTTTGACCAGACTTATCTTGAAGTTTTCAGTTTTATTTTTTGCAGAATCACCCAAAAGCACTTTATGAGAAAGTAAAAAACTGGACAAAAATCTCAGCAGAAAATGACAAAACTATCTCCATTAGCAGATAACTCCAGAGGTGGTTGCAGTAATTTTAGTAAATGGAAGTTCAAGTGTTGGTATTTTGATCGAAGTTAGAAAGCTTGAATGTGGAAATGTGAAAGAGCTGCACATGATGTGTCTGGATACGACTTTTCATAAATAATTCAGACCCTGTGAAAATGTTAAATATTAAGAAATGTTCTTCCAAATATTCCCCCTTTTAAAATTCTTCAATTTCATTCTCTGACATGTAAGAGATGGAAAAGCTGAAGAGATGTCCTGAAAGCACCTTAAGAAAAACCCAAAGCAGTTTGAGAAAATTATGGCACATCAGTGACTAATACAGAGCACGGTGTCTCAGACGCTGTTAGTCTCAGACTCTCTGTTTGCCACACCAGCTGTGTAAATTACAGCCAGCCTGTAAGATGTTTGTTTTTCATTTTATCCAGGTCTGTCATCCTCATCATCCCCGGTGTTGGATCTATTTTTGAAAATGCAAAGACATTTACAGAAGGGCAGGAGTCAGTTTTTCTTAATTGACTCACTCAGAAAGGCAGAGCTGTGACATTTATTGTTGTTGAGAGATGAGTTCAATCAGGTGGAGTGGTTGCAGTGTTTACTAATTAGACTTAACTGCCTGATTTTAGAGATGTGGCTTTTCAGCTGGTGCTAGAGGTTTGTTTCCTGGGACTTTTAAAGCATCAATCATGAGCTCTGGGAGCCATACAAGGAAATTTAGGGGAATATTTGACCATATTACTCTAGCAAATACAGGTTTATACTGTTCATTTTCTCAGATTGGTCTCAGAGGATAGCTGTTTCTTCTCTTATAAATGACTTCTGCCCTTTAAATGCTGAGTTACGCAGGTTTAAAACTCCAGACCATAAAACCAAGTGGAACAAAAATGGCTTTGTCCTTGTTGTCATCAGTCAAATTAACAAATCACAGCGACAAAAAAACAATGTTTAATGAGCAAATTTCATAGCCAATCTGATCTTTGAATATTTTTTTTTATATTGGAGAGCATAATACTTATTAACACTTATTCAGAGCCAATGACAGATTTGGACTGATTTTTCTTTTTTTTTCATTTTCCGCCAGACGGCGCTCCTCCCCAACATGCGACCAAGTTTGGGGTCATTCTGAACAATAACAAAAATCAAGTACTCGTGTTTTTTTGCCATTTTTGTGATACTCAAGTGTTTTTTCTCTTGATGGGGAGAGTAGGAAAATGCCAAAGTCAGTAGCCAAGAGCTAACAGTCTCAGCGCATCGGCTACCATCTCTGGATCCAGTGGAGATCCCAGGAATGGACCTTCAAATTGTCAGCAGACAATCAAAGAAACAATTTTCCAGCATGTCGTTGTGCTGCTGGTGCTGGTACTAGTTAGCCTGAATTCAGCGACAGTCCCTGTGAGAAGGACACTAGCAGTCTGTGTGGTTTACGTCGCGGTGTTAGGTTCTAGAGAGCCAATACGACTCCAAGCCGTCACAAATTGACCCATCACAATCTGATCTCGAGGAGGGAGGGCCTTGGTGCCACTGGTAAAGTAGTTTGAAGTGAAAAAGACGATCAGAGTTCTGCTTGAAAGGTTTTCCCAGGTTCCTTTTTCAGGATCGGCAAAGATGACAGGACCATGCAGCATTGAGCAGACAATAACTAAACACAGAAGTGGATTGGAGACTAACTTTTTTTTTCTGGTGAAAGAAGAGATTCACTCATTTCTTTTGAGATATTGCACCTAATTCTAGTCCAAGCACAAGATATTCTGTGGGTTCTGAAATATATGGAAATTTCTGTTGTGGTCAATGATGGCACTGGGTGAAAATTGCATAAATGAACCTGGCACTGAATAAGATTGGTGGTGGGTGGCTGATGATGTCCAGCTGAGAAAATAAGAGGAGACATGACAAAACGACAAAGAAACTAGTGAGTCATGTTAAAACATAAGGAGCTGAGTAAAAGGGACTTCAACCAAATTGAAGAAAACAGACACAAGGTATCCACAAACCCCAGCAGGGGATTGTTTTGGCAGTGGAAGGGGACTGGTTGGGAGGGAAAATGTCAACCAACAAGTTACAGGAAGGACAATATTACACAAGTGTTACTGCTATGTGTGGATAAAACAGCTTTTCCCTTTTTTTTTTAATATTGTGAAAAACAGCAAAGTAAATATTCACTGCCAAGACGCGTTAACATTTGATACCAGCCACAGCAGTAAATTTCACGATTTCAAAAACATCTTTGACTGACATCTTTGTCCACTTCAGCTTTCCGTCAGTCAGGCTCTTTACATTATGAGCATCCTTCTGCATAATGTAACAGCTTCTCTCCCACTCGAAGCTTAATGTTATTTGCAGGATTTTGATTTCAGTCACATCCCTCCAGTTACTCTGTCATTCATGTAAAATCTGTGATTCAAGCTTATCCCATTTAATAGTTTCAGACAAGACCCTCAGTGTTTGGATTAAGGAACCAGTGAAGCTGTCAGATTTAGATATTGCAGTTGTGATTTTAAGGCCTCACAATTCAAGTCAATGTAACCATTAGATTGAGCTCGGACTATACCAAATAGAGGAGGTATAGTCTTTGCTTTAATTTCTGTGTGTTACTCTAAAAGTTTGCTCTTCTTTAAAGTTAATATTTCTCCACAAAACTGTGTGAAAAGGACTCACTTTGGCTGCATCCGACAGAGCGGTGCAACTGATATACTACTAAAAAGTGCGATGAGTATTTTATTGTATCACAGTATTTTACTCTAAAGATGGAGCTGGAAGAAGCAAGAAACTTCTGCGAAATGCATGCAGGAAACAGAGTGATGCATACCAGTCAAGTCACGCCGTTTTAACAGCTCTTCATTGTGTCAAAATCCTGCATTCATAGAAAACGGTAACATACTGTTTTATAAATAATGCTGTGAAGTTCTGGTTTGATTGAAAGACTCCTAAATCCAGGACCTGAACTACTGCAACTACTGAATGACTAGCAGCATGGTGGAAACAGATGGTGATGTAGAGAGCATTACAGCTGCACATTGAACTTTGTTTTAAGTCTTCTTTAAGCCACTTTTCCATACCAACTTCTTGTGTTTTTCCCAACACAGCAATCGCCCTCGTGCACAAAGCCAGGACAAAGATAAGGCTTCTCCAGCTTGGTGCTGAGGAACTTGTTTTGACTTAACAGAGCCCTGACCTCAGCCCCATCCAACACATTTGGGATTAACTGGTACACCACCCTCGAGCCAGGCCCTATCGCCCAGTCGCCGACCTTAGCAAAGCTCTTGTGGCTGAGGGCGAGAAAATCCCCGCCGCTGGGTTCAAAAGTCTCGCAGAGAGAAAGCATCTGAGAGAAGTGAGGGCCGGTGTATATGCTTTAGAAATGGGTGATCTTACACTCACATGTAATTTCAGCACTTCTTCATGTTTCCGTACACGGTTTATCCAATGACTGACATCTTCATGCAGCACTTTGCACAGGTACAGCGAAGAGGGCAGTGGGATTTATAGAGATTAAAACCTTTCGGCTAAATTAATCTGGTATTCCCTTGAACCTGCGCCTTTTCCGATTCTGCCTCCGTTATCTCTTAAAGCCCCGCTGTAGCTGCAGCCCACCCAACTCCAGATTACTCCAATCCAGCCTGAGTCTTCAACCGTTTGACTCCTCTGATATCCACGTATTCGACTTTTATCACATTACGCAAAGATCAGATCGAGGCTGAAATAAATTCATGAACTTCACTGGTGATGTACCTTGAGAGATAAGGTGAAAACCTGAGTGAGGTGCGCTGTTTGAACAAAGTAGATTTGCTAAATCGGTTGTGATACTGCAAAATTACTTATTCTCCACATCCAACCCAATGACATCCTCCTGCGGTCATAAACACACCCAAATGACTTTTAAATCCAATTGGCTCGGCAGCATAATATTACTATCTCTACATGAATTTTAATTTTCCTTCCCCACTTAAGATGTCACACAGCAAGACAGTGAGATGGCCATTATGAAATTATTACTCATGTGCACAGACCCGCTAACAGTCGACCCACACATCTCTCTTTTCCATCTTGTTTTGCAGAGACGGGAGTATCTTAATTAATTTCACCTCCCCTGAAATCCAATTACCAACTGTATGGATTTTTGCTTGTTATATTTTATAGGAAAACATAGTTCACTGATCCCAGCAGGTATGAATCTTCCTGATTGCTTTGCAGTTTGTTCAGCGATCTTTATGATTGTCTGATGTTGTAAAGTCAAACAATGTCATTTTGATTTCTTCCCCGTACAGCTCGGAGGGTTATTCTTCGATACAGGACCTCCACTTCCAGGAAAAAAACATATCCAATAATGCTTTTTCTTTGTTTTTAAGAAGCGTAATTTAACGGTGTAGTATTAATTGTAATATAAAAGGGGAAAACCTGCAAATTAGATGAGTAAATAGCCTGAATTATGCCACTTGAGTTACCAAACAAGCTGTGGCTGCAATTAAAAATCACAACCCTCTACCTGCTGGGATAGGAAGGTAAGACTCTGAGTGACGCCACCACTGCAGATTTTAATTTGCGAAGAGGAACTGAGCACAGGAGCGAAGCCGTTGGGAAAAAAACGTGTAAAAATAGCTTTTCATTTGCCATCTGATAATGACGCAGAAATGACGCATGAATCATGATTGGGACACTGATCTGGGGTTCCTGCTGGTGTAATTAAAGACGGGGTCACAAAGAAATGACGTGCAGACTGATTTGTCATGTCGAACTGCTGCAACCTTTGTTTTACACTCAATCAATATGTGGCGGATGATGCAGGGGGATCTGGATCTCGAGAAGCGGCTGTCCACTTGGCATGAAGGGACTAAAAGGCGGTGAATCAAACCCTTAAGTGGACATGTGCTTGTGTGTTTTCTGCGTCTTATCTGGAAAAAAAATCAAAACAGAGAATAACATGAAAACAAATACTGCAGCTTCCTTTAATAAATCAAATTTACCATAAGGATGAGAAAGCCGGATCTCCGCATGATACCATATAATGTCTTGTTATGACCAGAGGACCACTTTAATGTCTGTTAGAGGAGGATGGATGCTGTTATCAGGAAGGGAAAAAGCCTCTGGTTGTATATCCGGATGTTACAAGAGATAAAAAGGTTTGACATGAAGCTAATATCGCCAAATAGCCCTTAGCTAGTGTGTACACAATTTAAAAACTGTTTTTATTAGTGGTTTCAGTCATGATATTTGGTTCATATATAGTCACTCATCTTTTTCATTTATGAGACCCATTCGACTCAAGGCCTTGCTGGCAGGATGAGGAGCGTATGTTTTATATTTTTAATGTGAAAAAAAAAAAGACAATTATAAAGTACATGCAAGGTATTATTGGGCTACATTCAAGCCTCTGTGCACAGGAGTTTAATGATGCTCTTTTACAGGAACTTGCAGGTTTGGGTCGAGTTTGGTGCTTCCTGTGGACAAGGTGGTACGAGCTAACCCTTTGCTGATGATATTGTCCTGTTCATGAGTGAATGACGGCACTGAGGCATGACTGAAACTGGACTTTTAAATACACAAATAATGCAAAAAAGTCAGTTTTTTTTTTTTTTTATTAATCAAGACTCTTGCAGGAGAAGTAAAAAAAGAAAACACCTCAATCAGCCTAAAACTGTTTTAAGTGCTCCACATTGACTCCACAGTTTGCATGTCCGGCTCTTACCCAGAGGTCAGAGGTCAGATAGCATAAATGTGTTGAAGGAAACTGGGCAGTAAACAAAACCTCAACAGAAGAAGAAGACGGGGAGTAAATGAGATGAAGCCAAATAAAGCATTGAGTGTTTGGGAAGGTACAGGAGCTGTTGTGTTGTTTATATTTTTACTGTTTGACTTATTAAGAGAACTTTTTTGATGAGTTTTACAGTGCGTGATGTGATGAGAAAACTAAAGTTTCACTTAGTATTGTGAAAGCAGATTTATTATCTTCAAGTACTCAGCTTTCACTTTATCCTTGTACACCGGTACAAGGAGAATACTCACATTAAAATGTCTAATCAGGGTAATTGGCTTGATTGTGTATGCAAACATATTGATTTACACTTTATTAATATGGACACAATGACTCCATACAGCTCCCATACTCACTGTGAAAGCACAGTGATTGTGTATGTGGTTTGACCATTTCTCTCACTGTTCTGCTCTGCTATTCAGTGCGCTGCGAGAACTGCATTAGTCAACAAAGCTGTCAATCAATTATCTTATAAAACATGTACTTAAATCTAAACTTCTTTGAGAAATAAACTCTTGCACATAAATCGGAATGATTAAAAATAGCTGTAATGACAGAAACTATGATTGAGAAATGAATGATTTTCTATAAAGTTTACTTTTCTATTTGATCCATAATCTATCTGTTATAAAGGAGGAGGTGGGCTTTATGAGCTAAGCTGCACCCAGCCACTAGAGGGAGCTCCAAATACTCTGGCTTTACTTGAGAAAGTTGAAGGGTTTTGAAGGGTTTTTCTTGTGTTTTATACAACCTATGATATAAAATAAGTTTTATGAAAAAATTATGAATAATCAGGTTTCTCTCTTTTGTTTTGGTGTGTCATAATAAGGTATTTCAGTTGGTTTATGACCTGCTAAAAACTCCAACTGGTGCTTCAATCTATTTATGTTCTTTTTTCATTATACAGGAAATCAGGAAGGAACTACAATCAGCATACATCCATGGAGGAACACAGTATGTCGTTGTTGATTACAGGATGATTATTCATTCTGAGAGGCAGCTACTGTCAGCTAGCAAACCTCTAGCATGGCAGACAGCCGGAGGGGTGCTAACATCTCCTGTCAGACAGCTCAACAAGGCTGACAGCAGCACTGCCAGATGTATTCACACTCCCACACAGTCCATCATATGTCAGGCCTGCAAATCTGGACTTCTTCCTGCAGTCTGGACCCAGCCAATCACCTGCTGCTTAATTTACCCTGTGAGCTTTTTACAAATTATGCGGTTGTTGGATCTCAGTGAGTATTATGCATCATCCACAGATGCAGTCTGTTTGACAGTCTTCATGTTTAAAGGCTTGTTTTTTAAGAGAAGCAGATCTGCAAATTCAGACGCTCACAAATCTTTATTTGCAGATCAAGTTAAATCTTTAGATTGGAGGCTTCTCAACAATTCCCCCACGCTCCAAACAGGATGTCACTTTACTTCATCTTCAGTGTACCGAGGAGGAGAGAGAGAGAGAGCCGCTGTGTAAATTTCAGGGGAAAGTGTAAAACAATGTCAGAAACAGAATTTGTGATGCTGAGGAAGTTATTCCTTCTGTAAACCTCACGAGCAGAGGACACTGAGGACTTTTCAAAGGGATTTTTTTTTTTATGAACTCTAAAACTTTTATGGCAACCACACCAACTTCTGGCTCAGCAACTTTGTCAAGGGCATTTCTGTCATCTCACCCAAGTGAAAACTTAACGCTCACACAACTGGCCAACATAAAACTTCACTTTGGGGACCTGAGCTGGGTCATACAGAGCGAAGAGAGGCTGCTTTATGAAAACCATAACTCACACTCTGTGCCACTCCTATAAACTGCAGCATGTTTAAATTAAATCTTTGATATTAAGGCATATATCATTTAGGATTATGATTATCCAGTGTTTGTGTCTCACTGTATGATCTCATCAAACTTAAATATCAGCCACATTTACCTGACAAGTCAAGATGAGCATCTTATGTAATATTTTCAATATATTAGATTTGAATTGTTTGCACTGAGTAGACAAATCTGCCGTCAAGTGTTTCAGCTCCAGACACACCCCCTCTCCTTTGTGACTTCTTCATCTATGCTGAAGTCACAGTTTCCTAAAACTACATCCATGCATCTCTCACTTGCATCTTTTTAATATATGATAAACTGGGCATACAGAACAAGATAACTGTGCTGATTTTGGGCCTGATTTTTGAGGGTGGTCCAGTGTCATGAGTGAGCTAACTAACTCAAAGAGGAAGCACAAGAAATGCAACCATGGCAACAATATACTGTATATAGAATGGATGCCGTCTGCCTCCTCACTGGGTGAAGCTACCACGAGAACAGCACCCTCTGGTGACGGGCTGCAGTACAGGTCATAAATCCCGCCTCCTCCAGCAATCCCTATGGAGCTGTGGACAAACTTTAGAAATTTATTACACAGAATATAATGTTTTCTCCACCCTGGTTGCGATGTTCATATGTAGTTATTGTCAGACTGGTTTGTGCTCAAGTCCTCTTTACTCTGTACAGCTCCATTTTTAAAAGTCATTAGGGGGTTCATGTTTTCTATGACTGACACTTGATACAGCTTATGAGTGTACGAAGATTGCGTAGATCATCAGGGGAATAGGCTGTTTGAGCCGAGCATCATCACAGCGACTCTCAGCAACTCTCCTGTCGATTGGGTATAATGCTACTGCGCAATGCTGGTTCCAGGAAATGAGGAAAAATCGTGGAAATACCGAGAGCTTTTGTGCTGTGCTTTTGTTGTTTTTGAGGCCTAGTCCACCTGTCTGCATGTGGATTTAGCCTCAGATCTCTAATTTGTCTCCATCAGATTAAAAATGAAACTTTCATTTTATAAATTTCATTTCACTCTTTTTTACAGCCTCCTCTGAATGACTGATATTGAATATATCTGTTCTTTCATAAATCAGCCTGTTTGTGTTTCACTTCCAGCAGCACCACCTCCACTTCAGGACTTTAGCAGTTTTTCATTTGAAGGCCGGTGAATACTATGATTAGATTTTATTATATGAGCATTTCTACAAACTACTTCTCTTTTTAATCCTGGGTGATTTATGTGTCTATACAGCGCAGCGACGTCATGCCTTTGTAAGAGCAACAAAAGTCTCACCCTGAACTATTTAAACAGTCAAACATCACTTCAGTAAGTTTTCAAATAAAAGGCTTTTATAGTTGCATTATGATGGCCAATTTAGACACTTTCCCCCGTCAGCAGTTTTACACAAAGGAAATAACGCCAATGAAAAAGTGAGGTTTATTATTTAAGGAGTGGTTTGTTTTTGTTGGTCATAAAGATGCAAAAATCTTGAAAAAATTCCCGAAGAAGGGAAAAATTCCTCATAGGAGCTTTAAAAGAGAGTCAGTGGATGAGGAACATTGAGTGCAGGATCTCATTAGAGAGTCTCCTGGTGTTTCTAACTCCAACAAACACTTATTTTTGTTGCTTGTTTTAGAAAATAAGATTCTCAGGAGTATTGTTCACCTGACTATCATGCTTTTCTTTTGCAATTTTCCCATTTCAGATTCTTATCTCAGTTCTCATTTTTGTCGTGAGGCTTCATTGATTTGTTCGGCACCCCCAGGTCTGTTTAGTTGACTCCTGTTTGTTGTTGTCAGCATCAGTTTTATTTCTCTTGTAATAAAAAACAAATTTACCACTTACATTTATTTTTTCAAAAGCAGCTGGGTCCTAACAGCTAGTTTAGTTTCCTGACATCAGAACAATGTCTAAATTCAAGAAACCAAACAAGTAAACTAGAAGATTTTATTTCTTTTAACAGATTTTAAAGGTTTTTATTTTTACCCATTTCTGTTTAACACTGTTACAAACATTATTTCTTTACTGAACGCAGCTTAACTTCCTGCTTTTTTGTTTTTCCCTCCTTTTTTGTGCCCCGCCCCTTTTTGTTAGCACCTGTGTCTGTTGAACCAGAGCTTCCTGGGGTTTCTGGTCTACGTGTTTCACAGTTTTTGTGCCAGTATTTGTTACACCTGTCCACTCTTGCCTCTGGTGCTGATATGTTCCACATGGTTCTACTTTTTTGGACTGTTTTTCCTGGACTTTGTCAGCTCCTTGGATATTTTCAAGCATGCTCCCAGTGGACTCACCAAAAGTAAGCCGCTTTTTCTTACTTTGACTTGCGCTCAGTTCTTCTTGCTATCTGCTTTTGGGTTCTGTCATATTATCAAACATGACAAGAGAAACCAAAAAGAGAGACAATCTTTTGATTTTCAGTGATATAACTCTGACTAAACAAGCCGACCAGCAGATTTATGTGTCTGATTCCTCAACATGTTCTCAGTCTCCCATCAGTGGCAGATTAAACTATAGGCGGCAGTGTTTCATGCTGCAGTCGCTTATTTAGTTACTCTGAATGGAAAACATTAGGTGTACTTCTGAAGGTGCTCAAAGGTTGGATCGATTTGAGCAGCCAGACTGAGAGGGAAAATTTGATTTGAATTGGTTGGCGAAACACCTTGGAGTGGAGCTACGATCTAATTTGTCGAATCTTTTTGTGTTTTTCTTGTCAGGACATGTCTGCCAATATGGTTTGAGAGCTCTGAGCTGCAGGCCTCAACTTCCCCCGAGACTTATTTGTTTATTTTAAACACCAGGTAGATTTTTACTCCACTAATTGAAAACATAAAGCTGGAGTAACACTTCTTAAGCAGTTCTGCTGTACCTTCACTGGTCCAAAATCTCCACAGCAGCGTGCAGAGCTTTGGAACCAGACTGTGGAAGTGCTGGGTTGTGAATCCAGCACAGCTAAAAAGAGGACATAATGGTCCTCAGGGTCCAGACAGTAGCAGAGTGAAACTATGTTATGAAAGTTTGAAATGTTCTCACTGATGAAAACTTTCAGAAAAAATGTGGGACTGAATCCAGGGTGAGATTTATTTACATCTGTACCAGTTAATGGGCCGTCAGAAATCCACTGAAGATCATGGAGACAGTGCTGAGGATTGTGGGTTCTAAAGCAAACACAGGGATGGCTGAAAACATGATAAGACGGACACTTACATATTTACTGTAAATAAGATCAATTTAAAGAGATGATGGTTTAAAATAAGCAATTATGATGACAAATCATTAGGAAAAAAGTGTACTATGAAAATTAAACAACTTAAAGTTCATGATTTGTATTTGAGGAGCAAAAGTTGGACTTTGTTTTGGAACTAGGCGAGTCGCCCTCTGCTGGCCGGTTGACAATATGTACTGCACCTGCATAAACTTTACTACTGATCCCAGAGAATATGGCTGTATTTAATACTATCAGTACATACTGACTTGGCTAAAATGTAGAATGTTGTGTGTAGTTTGTAAACAAAAATGAGAAAATATAAGAATAATTTTTGTATTTAGTATACAGTGGACAAGTTATCCCATATGTACCATTACTGACATTACTCATACATTGAGTGCAGTGGAGTTTCGCGGCTCAAGGAAGAACATTTATGATTTTTACTTCATGGATGCTAAGGCAGAAGAACTACTGCATCTGCAGTGCAAAATGATTATTATGATGATTATTACTTAGAGGAAACGATCTTCTGCACTCAGTGATCGACTCGTTAGGGCTTCCCCCACAAACAAGCGGCTGCTGGAAGAGAGTGGGTGAGTTTGGTCTCTTTGCTAAAAAAATCAGGCAAAGCTAAAAGGATGATTGATGGCGAGTACTATGACTGGGACCCTATATGTACTGTTGATGAAGTTAGGTGCTGTTCTGAGCAGTATTTGTGGCTTTTTGGTTGAGGTTTGCGCACAGAGACGTAGACTGCTGTGTATTGCTATTGTGCGGTTGTTGCTGAAGTCGGTATAACTAGAGAAGCAAGCAGTCTGCAACATTCATCTCTAGAGGGGGTGTCTCATTCTGTGTTACGGTGTGTTTGACCTTTACTTAAATTTACAGTGGGATATACATTTAACTCCACCAGCAAAATATGTCTGCATCTGTGCAAAGTTATTCAAGTCTTTTAGCTTCACATCTCACAATACGTCTAAATCACTGCAGTTATTTGTTGTACAGACATTAAATGGTTCCAACATGTAATATAAATAGGGATGGACCGAATGGGAAAATCTTGGCCGAAACCGAATACCGAATATAAGAAACACTTGGCCGAATAACCGAATACCGAATAGCCGAATATGATTAATAAATATGTATATAAACTATGAATTTTTATCACCAAGCAACTTTTGTACAATTGCTGTCATTGCCGTACATTTGTTTTAAAGCTACCTGATTATGGCAAAACCTGGCAAACTTAAATATTAATCACTTTATGTTTGAACCATGAAACATTTATTCAGCTGACATGACATAACAATGCTATAACAATAACATTCAATAAAATAAAATTAAGTAAATAACATCTTTGCAATAACAATACAAAAAAGTGCATTTTTCCCTGTAGGATAGCCTAAAGTAAATAAAATAAAATGCACATATGCAAAATAAATAAAATAAATGCAGGTACGTGCATGCATATACATGATTGTGCAACAGTAAACACAAATCCAGGCCTGAGGACTTCAACGATAAATGCACTTACATGCATGCATATCCGATTGTGCAAACTTTTGTGCAGTGAGTTTCTTAAAGTCGTCATGTTTGTCCTTATGTTTAGCGCTCAAGTGGTTGATTAGCCCCGATGTACTGAAAGTTTTTGCCGTCACACCACCTCGAGACACTTCAGCAGAGCAGAGTTTACAAATTGCCATCAGACCATCTTTCTCTGATATGTCGAAATATTTCCAAACCGCAGACATGCCGGTTGAACGGCTTCGAGCCAAGACAGCTGCACGTATCGTGTGCGTCGCATCAGCATGCCGGTGTTGTGCCGTAGAATGCACCCCCGACGGGAGCGCCTTGTCGCGTTCCGATTACGTCATCAACATGCTACCAAAACAGGTAAAACAGCGCGGTCTGCGTTTTCCGTTTTTGAGAGTTCATACTAGACCAATGTTTATCCACACTATTCGGTGATTTTTTTCGGCCATAACATCTATTCGGCCGAAAACCGAAAATTCATTTTTGATGCTTTTCGGCCGAATATTTTCGATGCCGAATATTCGGACCCATCCCTAAATATAAACAGTAAAATTTTACAAAACTGTTACTTCTTTTCCAAAATACGCACTCCGCATTGACTGTTTTGTTTTTTATAAATTACCCCAGCCTTGTTTTCTGCGTTTATCCCTTTATCCTGAGCTTCTCCGACCATCTCTCTGTAAAAGACATGCAGTTTATTTTCTCTCCTGCCTCACCTCCCTCCAGTCTGTTACCATACATATGCTCTGTCTGGAAAAGACACATTAAAAAAATTTAGTTTACCGTCTCTGTCAGCTCGAAAACCCACACAATTTATCAGAGTAACTGCATTCGGATGATTCATTACTCTCATATTCTATAAAGCATATGGCATGCGAGTGGAGGCAGAACTCCTGCTGTGATTTCTCCCACATTTTTGAACAAGCTTAACCTTAGGTTTGAAACCATTAATCATTTCCACCAAAAATACAGTTTCACATCAAACTCTCCGAGTCATATTTTGAAACAGCTGTTAAAAAGTACGACTTTGCAGATGCCTTTTGGTTTAATCATTGGTAAACTTTA